AAATATTTCATTCCTTTCTCTGGTGGCCTTCAAGTTCCTTTTCTCTCTCTATTCCAGGGGCTTTTCAGTCTCTACCCAAATTTAATAATTTTCCACTGTTTCTAAGATCTTTTTCATATTTCACTTCTCCCAATTGCCTTCTACTTATCAGAGGAGAAACGAAATGATTCAGCGCAGAGTTCCAGAGCTACCTGGGCCATACCTGCCTGCCACAAGGCCGATGTGCTCCCATTGCTCAGGAGGTTCCTGGGCAGCGAAATAGACAGCAGCAGAGGAAACAGAGGTGTGCCGTTCAGTGGCAGGAACTGACACTTCTAGCCATTCCTCAGTGGCTGGGAGCTTTCTTTGGTCATTAATAAAATGAGGCCCACCAGAGTAGCATCATACCTCCTTTTCCTGCATGGTGTCCCCACTGTCCATTTTAGTAGTCTTTTCCTTCCCTGCTTGGGATCTAAGGCAGGTGACTTGTTTCCTTGGCATCCTCTGAGTCTCAACAGTGTATCCATGGAGCTTTGAATGGAGCTGTCCTGCCTCCCATGGTCATCTCCAGGAGCTGATGCACAGTAACAACTGGCCACCTGCTTTGTTGGCCCCTGGGGTGCATCTTCCAGCTCCCAGCCTTCTCTGAGCATGTTCACATGCCAAGGGCCCTGGCATTTCCCTGCAGTTGATACGCCCAGCATCATCGCTTCTGCCAGCTTTCCTCAAAGCTGCCACTTGCCCACTAGGAGCAGCCTCGCTCCTAAGCCTGCTACAGGCACTGAAAGTCATTTCTCCCTTTCCAGGATGCATATTAATGAGTGTCTGCTGCATGCAAGGGCTATAAAGATGACTATAAAGTGGTCCCTGCCTCAGGCTTCATCCAGGGGGAGTGGAAAACACATCCTCAGATCACCACAGGGTAGCAAGATACTGTCAAGAGGTGTGGTCAGGATGCCCCGGGCAGCTAACTCATTATTGTAGAGAATGCTTGTTATTTTAGAGAACCTTTTAGGGTTTCCAGTCACCCCTGCCCCTGGCCCCCAGTATTTCACTCAGCAGAGGTCCTGCAAGAAATAACTCCTCACCCTCCCTTAGAGGAATTCTGCAGACGAGCCGTAATGTAGAGACACTCTCTTCTGAAAGATGCAGACTTCAAAGTAGGGATGTGGCAACCACTGCCAAGTGCTGTCTTAAAGGCACACACCCATCACAGTCGTACCCACCCTGCTTTCCACAGAGAGAAATAAACTCATCGCTAAGGACAGCTGCTTGGAACTTCTTAGATGCTGTTGCCTACATCCAGCCTTGCCAGCTGCTGACATCCCTCTAGTCCTCCAGATGTTCCCGCTGGCTGTCAGTTACCACTTCACTTTAGGTCCAAGGAAGTTGTATCGTGTGTCTGCTGTGACTGCTCCTCAGGCTCCAGATCGGCTCATGTGCAGTCCTTTTCCACTCTTCTGGTCTAGAAATGGACTCACACAAGCCTCGCATTTCAGAATGAACTACCCCAGGGCTCCTCTGCTTCCTTCACCTCCAACTTGCGTTCAGGACATAGGGAGGACTCTCAGTGTGTAATGGTGATAGCACTGGGAGGCCTCCACCTCACTCCCAAGACCTTGTTCTTTTTTATTATGATACTGGGGATGGAACCTGGGACCTCACACTAAGCAAATGCTCTACCACTGAATATATCCACAGATCTTTTGAAACATTTTTTTTTTTCTTTTTGAGACAGGGTCTCCCTGTAGCCCCAGCTGGCATGGAACTCACTATGTAGACCAGGAAGACCTTGAACTCACAGAGACCTTCCTGCATCTGCCTCCCAAGTGCTGGGATTAAAGGCATGCCCGGCTTTTAAGACTTTTTATATGGAGACAGAATCTCATTAAGTTACCCAGGCTAGACTTGAACCTGCTCTGTAGCCCAAGCAGACCTTAAACTTGTGATTCTCCTGCTTCAGCTTCCAAGTAACAGGCATGACAGGCCTATGTCACTGTGTCTGGCTCCAAGACCCATTTGTAACCTTGACTCATGAAAGGAGGATGTTGCATAAACCATCAATGGTGACAGAGCAGGTAGATTCAAAAACTGAATTAGGTTCATTATGATTCTCTTCCTTGGACTGCAGGGATATTGTTGGAGGCTGAAACTTGTCTTCACCAAGTAAGAGTCAAAGAAAGACTCAGGCTGGAGAGATGGTTCAATGGATAAAGCACTTACCACATAAGCCTGAGGAATTGAGTTCAGATCCCCAGCATGGCAGCTCTCCTGTAATCATAACACTCTTGAGAGATAGAGACAGGTGATCCTGGGGCAAGCTGGCTAGACTAGCAATCTCCAAGCTCTGGATTCAGAGAGACCCTGCCTCTGTAAATAAAGTAGAGAGTGATGGAGGAAGACACTCAACACCAAACTCTGGCTTCCACACGCACCAACACACAAGGAAACATGCATATACACACATACACATGCCATAAAAGAAGCCTCTTGAAGCCACCAAGTCTCCTGTTGCTTCTTCTGAGATATCAACCAGGTCTCAGCAAGCATCTGCTGCTGAAGGTAGGAAGTAGCCATTTGAGCATCATTGGTCTACAGTTAGCTCTGAAACCTTTAGACAAAAGGTTTTTCCCATGTACAGAGTCCATGGTGAAAAGAAGGGTCATGCTAGGCCTCTTCAGTCCAGTGCAGTGGGTCAGAAAACAGGAGAGCTGCTGTGCACCCAAGGTTGGGGTGCAGAACTGGGTAGAAGACCCTGGACCCCTTCTCAGGCTCTTGATCCATGCTTGCTAGATCTACAGAGGGGCCTGGGAGCCTCAGACCCAGTAGCCATTGTGAAGTCAGCATCTGTGGAAGATGAGAGAAACAGTCCATCGTGAGTGGCTTGGTGTGTGCCTGCAGTTTTAGACGGACTTGGTCAGCCAAGAAAGTTTTCAACAAGTTTCTCATAGAAATGACTTCCAGGCCAGGGCTTTGGCTTGGCTCTCTGTCATTCGACTCTTAGGAGAGCCTAACAGCAGGCTTTGCTGCTATTAAACTTTTCTGAGCTAAAAATACAAAACCTACTCTATAGAAATAGGCCACAGTGCTAATGGAGCCTCTAGGCCTTGCATGTCAGACATTTGCCCTATAGTTCAGAGCAGCTTAATCTCCCCACAGGATCTGTAGCCCCACGTGCACCACGGGAGGCAGAGTGTAGCCCAGCATGCGCTTACCTGTTCCTGGCTTCACTCTCATCCACATTTCTACGCGTAGTTGTCAAGCAGAAAAGCGATTGCTTGAAATGACAGCCTCAAAGTCTTAGCGAAAGCCAGCTGGTTCCGGTACTTTTCCCTTTCTGCATTCTTCATCCTGTAGACCTCCCGTTGCACAGACTATAGACCAGTGGTCTGGGGAAAGGATGTTTGCTTATTTCCCTTTTAAAGATTGTTTTTCAGTTCACAGCAAAATTGACAGAAAGGTACAAAAGTTCCCCTCTCCCTCCCACCTCACATGCACAGCCTCCCCATTATCCACATCCCCACCAGAGTCTATGACTTGCTTTAGAGATTAGAGACCCTGTGGTTTTGAACAAAGGTCCAATGACTTGTATCTATTATTTCCAGAGGATTTTCACCACCCTTAAGATTCCCTTCCCTCTGCCTGTCTAGCCCTCCCTCTTCTAGCCACAGTGGGGTGGTTTTAAGAAGGTGTTAGCTGACAGCATGTATAATGTGGAACTCACATGGGATCACCAACATAATTACTTTCCTTGAGTGTCTGCATCTTATGGGCCATTATGTTGTCACCAGGCCCCTGACCTCTGAAATTTGTCCTTGTATTCCTTGTCCAGATTGCTGCTTCTTGCTCAGGCCTCTTGCAGACCAGTGTTCCTTTCCCATTTCCTGGACCACCACCCTCACTCTGGTGTCCTTGTGCCTTTCCAACAAATGGCATCTAGGGGTTTGGTTACATGACTGTGACCCATGAAACTGACCACCTTCTCCATTTCTGTCATATTTTATTTGTAAATTCACCCCTACAGAGCCCTTCTCTTTATGTTTTTAAAGCATATACCAATCGATTAAAATACGGAAATTGGATAGACAGTAAGTAAGCTTAGGAAAAATTCCAAGTACAAAGCTAGGTTGTATTCTGAGCGTCTCTTTTCCAACTCGTGGCAGGTGGTCTGAAGTGAGTGGGTTGCTAGGATAACATGAACAGTCAGTCTGAATAGAAGATCAGCTGGGTAGTAAAGGAAAGTACTTTGCCATTACTTAGAAGGGGAAGAACAAATCACAAATGCATTACAGACTTGGTGTGACGTTCCCAAAGCAAGTGGGCTTGCACTTAGGTATGGTACAGTGAACAGAAGAATACCCAAGCCCAGCATGCTGTCCTGAAGAGGCAGTGTGTGTGCTGGGAGATGGGGCAGCTCTGAAAGGCCTAGGTCTCTGGGCTAGTTCCTCTGCCACTGAGCTGGCTGCCTCTGCACACAGTCTCCATCTCCCAGGCCTCTGTTTGCTTTTCTGTAAAAATATCTCAGTATCGTTTTTCTGATAGGAATATATCAGTGTGTGTGTTTAGTTTATGTTAAACGGTTGTACTGGAATGAGAGAACAAAGGATTGTTTCTCTATTTTGGCCCAGGCTTTTTATGACCTCTCTCTATTGCCACTGTATCAGGGAGTGACCCAGTACCACATGGTGCCCCAGCCCAGCACCATCTTAAGAGAAAATTGTTCTGTGAACATGAAGAGTTTACTTCTGATTCCGAGAGTGTGTACTCCTGTTTCTTTATGTGACCATTTGAGAGGAATACGCACTTGGTTTTTCAAAACACCTATGTTCTATTTGAAAGAAAATAATTATGTTCTTGAAGTGTCTCCATGTTAATAAGCATTTCTCTGAGTGGTTCATTTGGAAATATATAGTACAATACTGTTTTGTTTTATTACTGGAGTGTTATAGGGGGCACCCTCGTGTAAAAAAATATTTTATTAATTGAATTCCACTTCTCTCTTTTTCTGCCTCTCATTTCAGAACGGTTTGACCACCACTGTCCCTGGGTAGGCAACTGTGTGGGGAAAAGAAACTACAGATTTTTTTATATGTTTATTTTATCCCTGTCTTTTCTGACAGTCTTTATATTTGCATTCGTTATCACCCACGTCATTCTTCGTAAGTATGCTGGCGAAATCAGATTATGTATGTAACCATTACCTGACTCTGGTTTTCTGATTCACTTTTGATTTAATATTTTTGATCATTTCCGCTTTCTCTTCCTTCTCTTTTCCCCTTTCCACTTCCAGCCCTCTCTGTTCCTTACTTCCTCCATCCCTCCTCATCCCTCCCTTTTTCCTCCACCCCATCCTTCCAGTGACAGCTTCCTGGTCACACCCGGACCAGGTTTTACTTCCACTAACAAGACTTTCCCTTTGATACACCTGCCCTGGTCCTACCTCAATGGTGTCTGCTGAGGGTCTCCCTGAGAGGTTCATTCCTACATTTTGCACAAACGACTGAGTACAGTGATAACCACTGAATATCAGAGTCTGTTTTCTTAACACCATATCTACTGACACATGACTTTTTTTTTAAATGTCCCTAGGAAAAACCGGTTTGGGAGAGGGACTAGATTTTCCTGTACACACATCTCTGTATGCTTAAGATATACATTTAGTGAGCTGATTATCTTCAAACTGTGAGATATATGAGCGTAATGTGAGCAAATTACTTCGGCATGTAAAGAAAGCAACTTTATTAAAGGTGGATTCCAATGTAAACAATTTAAACGTATTTGCATAAGCAAATGACATTTGTTCCTTCCCCATTCCGAGAGTCATACTGAGTTTCTTTTGTCTCCCGGTCATTCACGTTCCCACAATAGAAGGTGATGAGAAGGAAGTTAATTGGCTTTGAACTAAAAATTTAAGCCTTTAAAATTCCATCACAGCATCATTACCAGCATCAGACAGCAGCTCTACCTCCCCTCCACGCCTGAAGCACAAGCATCCATTAGCAAGTACACAGCCTCATTCTGGAAGGATCTAAACAGAGAGGCTTCATTTCCTTACCTTGCCAGCATCGATCTAACAAATGGAGCAGGCTGAGGCTCTGTGGGCCCTACTCCCCAGTCTGGGTGTTGTCCAGGTGCCACACAGATATGTGATACATGCCTGAGGGTTAGAAGCTAGCAAGCTTTCAAGAGATTAGTACTCATCAGAGCCCTCTCCCATGCCAGCTGGAGTGCTCTGCAGAGGCCCTCTTTCTCAATGTTTTCTGAGTCCCAACATGGCCAAAGGGGAGCCAGGATCCGTCTGCGGATTCACCAAAGAAGCAGAGAGAAAGCCGAGGGTGTTCGGTGTTATTCCGAAATAAGCAATTGTTGACATGGTTAGAGAATAAATATCAACACCCCAGCACACATATGACATTAAAAAGTAGTATTTTTGCCTTACATTCTTATGTCTTCTTTGACAAGTTCAAAATACTTTTGTGTATATACGGTCAAACTGTATTTACAGCCTCACTCAGACACTGGGGATCTCTAGGACCAGTTTTCACTTGCTTGGTCATACATGTAAATGCCAAGAACACATGCACACATAGGCTCGTAGTTTCACACAGTCACTCACACACCTGATCACACACCCACGTGCACATGCACACACACACAATGAAGTCCGCTGTCTCCCCACAATTGTAATGGTGTTCATCACACCTCCACTGAACGCATAACTTTAATTCACCCTGGTTTTAACACTGCAGTTTACTGTTAAACTTAACGGTAAATTTAATGCTTAAGTATTTTCACTAACCTAAAATAAATTCAGAATGAATATGCCTGCAAGGTGTATTTTTGGACAAAATCAATACAGCTTTTTCCCCTTGTTCTGCATACCCCACATCCCTCTCAAAGTACCATCCTCCATACCACCCCATGCCTTCAGGAAGAAAGAGGGTTCACATAGCTCCTGGGTTCCCTAAGACTCAGAAAACATGGACAGAAGCAGGCAGCTGTAAAGAGCAGTGTCAGAGTTGACACCTGGGAGGGGGCTCTGAGTGGAGGGGACACCTGGGAGGGGGCTCTGAGTGGAGCAGACAGTACTGGAGGGAGCAGAATTCTGTGGTTTCCAGGCTTCCTGAGAAGCTTGAAGCCTGGGTTTTCTTACAGGGGACAGAGAATCGATGCAAACCAAACAATGTGAGCATGATAGAGGAAGAGAAGTGTTTTCTTTGAGCCCTACGTTTGCCAGTGACCTGTGGCTTCTCACTTCTTGCTGTCCCGCGCTGACCTCAGGGAGATGCAAGAGGAAGCTTTAAGCATCAGTCTTTCCTTTTCAGTAATAAGTGCAGACCCTCTGCAGTTACCTTTCCCACCACATAGCATGTCCTTGTACCTCCACAGTGGACAATAGGCCACGGGGTTCTTGGGGGGAAGAACATGAAGCCAAAGCACCTCTTCGCATAGTGGGGCATGGTCCAAAGTTACACAGAGAGGCTTAAGACTCTGCCACTCACTAACACCACCCAAAGCTGAACTGGTTAAACAGCACAGAGAAGCAGCAGCCCCAGTGATAGCTTAACTGCACATTTCACTGTAGCACAAGGGTAGACTGAGTTCCATGAAGCACAGTGACTTCACTCAACACAGAGGGACCCAGCATCATCTCCCAAGATAGTATTGCCAAGATTTCCTCCTCATAGGCCTTTATTGCTAAAACTATGATGTCAGAGGTCATGTGTGGTGGTGCACGCCTTTAATCCCAGCACACAGAGGCAGAGGCAGGCAGATCTCTCTGAGATCGAGGCCAGCCTGGTCTACATAGCAAGTTCCAGGCCAACTCAGGCTACAAGGAGACCCTGTCTCAAAAAAACAAAACAAAACACCAAAGCAAAACAAACAAAAAGCACACAAAGTATGTTGTCAGGGCTGGGGAGATGGCTCAGCATCACAGTTCAGTTCCCAGCACCCATACGGGAACCTCAGAAATCACTCCAGCTCCAGGGCATCTGACAACCTCTTCTGGCCTCCAGGGGCACCTGCACACACATGGCATATACATATATACACATGAATAAAACTGAAAATAGCCGGGTATGGTGGCACACACCTTTAATCCCAGCACTTGGGAGGCAGAGGCAGATGGATCTCTGTGAGTTCAAGGCCAGCCTGGTCTACATAGTGAGTTCCAGGACAGCTGGGGCTACAGGGAGACCCTGTCTCAAAAAGACCAAAAAAAAAAAAAAAACTGAAAATAAATCTTTTAAAAAATATTTAGGGGCTAGAGAGATGGCTCAGCAGTTAAGAGCACTGGCTGTCTTGCAGAGGACCCAGGTTCAGTTCCCAGCACCCCACATGGCAGCTAACTGTAACTCCAGTTCCAGGGGAGTCAGACACCCTTTTCTGGCCTCTGTGGTCATTGTACACGCATGGTGCACTTACATACATATAGGCAAAACACTCAAACACATAAATTTAAAACTTAAACAAATTTAAGTATGATGTGAATTTATATATGTAAAATCATTTCTTATTGGATGCTTCTTTACCCAAGCCCTGAAACAATGTTTTAACAAACTCACGGAACAGTGCCTTCAACCCCTCAGAGTCAGTAAATGAACTTTAGCTTTGTTTACTCTGGGTGGAAGAAAGAAGACCCAGTTCATAAGACCTCTTCAGTCAAAAGTTAACAAATGTGGGTAAAACAGATGAGATTTAAAAAACAGTATGTGGAATTCTGTTTTCCTATTAAAATGAGGAAACAAAGGAGTAATCAAAGCTATAATTTATGGAAAAGTGTACAGACATCCATCTGCTTGCATTGAAAAAAAATGCCCTGCATTTGTGGGCTCTAATTATGTATCTGCCTCCTCTTGTTGAATAACCAGTGGAATCCCAATCTCTGATCAGGCTATTGGGTGCCCTAACACTTACAAAGTCTGGATATTTAGTTGATCTTTAGACACCTGGCTGGGTGTAGTGGCACATGACTTTATCCCAACACTGGGGAGGCAGAGACAGGTGGATCTCTGAAAGTTCAAGGCCAGCCTCCTCTATATAGTGAGTTCCAGGGCAGTTGGGGCTGCAGGGAGACCCTGTCTCAAAAAGACCAAAACTAATAATAATAATAATAAATTATACATCTATTATTTTTATGTAGATGAGATGTTGAGCATGAGGCTGTTTATTCTGGAGGTGAATGCCTGAATACTAAATGTTGGCTTCCTTCCCACAGGTTCACAGCAAACAGGATTCCTCAATGCCCTTAAGGACAGTCCGGCGAGATATCCTTTTTGGTGGCTCTGTGGGAACTGTGCCCATGGATCCAGTATTTTAATGATTCCTACACTCTTACCTCCTCATCTCTGGCCTTAGCTTTTTTTCTCATAAATCATATTCCTATTATTCTGTAAAGCATCCAAGAGAGCCATAATATTCAGATGAATGGCATCTGAACATTGAGTCCCTAGGTGACTCATCCAGTCTAAATTGAAGTGCTCTTTAGCTAGAAAGCTAGAAGTGAATTCTTATATGCCCCCAGAATAAGCCAGTGTTGATTTGTGTTCAATCAGGTTAGGTGGGGGAGATGTAGAGCTGTGAGCCCACCTGATCTCAGTGTGATCAGCAGGTGCTTCCTACAGAATACTTATCAATACCCAGATATGGGTCTGATTCGAATGTCTAGATGCCAGGTGAAGCTCTCTGGGCCCACTGGAAAGATTGTGTCTGGGATATGTTGAGGCATTTCTATGCAAACACAGTGACCTCTATTATCTCTAGAAACAATTTTCTTTTACAACCCTGAAGAGTCAATCTCAAGTTACCTGGATCAGGGAAGACTGTTTCCCACCCTCCCAAACAGTATATATGTATGTGGACTATGGATTTTGAGTCTTGAAAGAAAAATGTCCACCCACTAAGTGTTGAATGGAGTTCCATTAGCAGGCCCAGGTTTATGCTGATTTCTTGTAGAATCACCCAGATGAATCTGCTGACCCAGCTCCTTGGAACCCAGCTCTTTTTCTTCTTCCTATAACTGGGTAAATTGCATTTGACCTCTTCGTTTCTCTTATGAGTGATTTTGTTTCACTGGTAGTAGAGAGTCCTACCACGTGCATTCATGTGGCTGTTTAAAGTAAAGCTACCCATGTCCCTGAGAACTGGGGTGCATGTGTGGGGTGGTGGTGGAGGTGTTTATATAGAGCTGTAAATAAACATAAGTAAACATTGTCCTATACATGTAGTTAGATGATAGAGAGAGAGAGATGATAGATGATAGATAGATTGATAGGTAGATAGATAGATAGATAGATAGATAGATAGATAGATAGATAGATAGATAGATAGATAGATAGATAGATAGATAGATAGATAGATAGATAGATAGATAGATAGATAGATAGATAGATAGATAGATAGATAGATAGATAGATAGATAGATAGATAGATAGATAGATAGATAGATAGATAGATAGATAGATAGATAGATAGATAGATAGATAGATAGATAGATAGATAGATAGATAGATAGATAGATAGATAGATAGATAGATAGATAGATAGATAGATAGATAGATAGATAGATCCACATAATGGGTACTATCTCCTCTGATACCTCTGAGCTTTGGGGCAGTATAAGAGGCTGTCTTACAAGTACAGCTTCAATAGTCAGCTGGTATCTTTTTAAAATTTTAAGTATTCTTATTTCAAATGTGTGAGTGTATTGCCTACATGTATGTAAATGGACCTGTGTCATGCAGTGCCCGTGGAGGTCAGAGGAGGGTGTCAGACCCCCTGGAACTGGAGTTACCAATGGTTGTTAGCCATTATGTGGGTGCTGGGATCTGAACCCAGAGCAGCCAGTGCTCTTAACCACAGAGCCATCTCTCCAGCCCCATATCTTTTTAAGGAGATCTTTATTGTGCACAGGGACTGGGGATATAAGAATAATGAACAAAGGAGGGTTGAAGAATAAATTCCACATGTCCTATCTCCCATGAATGATGCAGAAAACTGGAGTTAGGTAGAAGTTGGAAGAGGAAAAGTAGCCCACGGAATAAAGTACTCATCTGAGCGTCTAAGAACAGGTTCAATGAGAAATGGCACCCTTTGTCCCTCTCCCCCACCCTGCCAGGTCATCCATCTTCCTCCCATCCCACTCCTCACCATTGCCTAGGTGCCCTCCAGTTTCAGGGTGTTACTTCAATATATCTAAACTGAAGCCTCGCCTAAGTCTTTTAGAGAATCGGTCGTGTCATGAGGACCAACATCAAGGCTGGTCGCTGAGGTGCGGTGGATGAGACCGACCTGTTATACGTAATGCTCACAGAGCTGTCCTTTAGCTGATGGAGTAATGCCCATAGCTCATCCTCTCTAAATCTGCGGTCTTCAGAACAGGGCTCCAAAAAGCTCCAAGATCCAGGTGTGGTGGCGCACGCCTTTATTCCCAGCACTCGGGAGGCAGAGGCAGGTGGATCTCTGTGAGTTCAAGGCCAGCCTGGTATACGTAGTGAGTTTCAGGACAGCTGGGGCTACAGGAAGACTGTCTCAAACCCCCCCCCAAAAAAAAGCTCCAAGGCCCTAATCCTGGAAGTTTTGAGCTGGCGTGCCCAAGTGCTGGACTGAGTCTAGTAGATGCTGGCAAGTGCTCTTGGGCCAGAAGATAACTTGTGTTTTCAAACTTTCAATGGCCTCATACCTGGTCTTCTGACCATGGTATGAAAATATTTGGATGAGAAATGAGTGTCCAGTCCAAGGTTCCTCATAGCAGATTCAGATTTGCCCTCCAAAGCAGTGGTACTGAGGAAGTGAGAGGGGTAAGTGATAAAAGTGGCAAATTAATCACCCACAACACCTTCCCATGTGTCAACGTCAATGATGGAAATATTGACAACTAGTAGGCAAGGCTTAGGGAGAAAGGAGCCACCATCCTTACAATAAGGCCTGGATGTAGGACCAGCATGGCCCTGAGAAGAGGGAAGGACAGTCACAGATAACCATGAGTAAAAGGACTCCGCAGGCCACTTCCTAGTCAGCACTACCAGTGGTGAGAAACGAGAAAGATGCCTAACTACAGGGAGAATGCTTTTCCAGAGGATGGGCCTCCCTCATCTTCCTCTTCCTTACCTGCCCACCACTCCACTGCCTCCCTTTGATCTTCATATCAAAGAAGCAGAGGCTGTTGGGGAGGGGCCCTCTGGTCAGTGGCCAGTGAGGTGGCTGCCCCTACCATGGGCTCAGGCTAGCCCCATCCTTCCCCAAGGAAAGAGACAAAAGACAACCTGCTCCATACACGGGACCAGGCCTTCATCTCACCAGCCAGGCAGGTTCAAACAAAGGAAATCCACTTGACAGCTATGTCCTGCAAAGTCACTTTGTTGAACACCTACCATGAGCCAAACCTTCAGGTAGCAAGGTTGAAGACAACAAATCCAGGCCTTTGAAGAAGTCCATTCAGAAGGGTCTGGGGCAGAGTGACAAGCCGGCACACAATGCACACTTGCTCCTTTCTCCCTTTTGAACATCTGCAGGTACCCGGGTCTAGTTCTGTAAAGCCACAGACTGTGCTTAGATAAGACTCAGAAGGAAGATGCATATGCTGCTGGGAATCAGGGCGGGAGTTGTGGCCAGTGGCCTATGCACAGGACTCTGGGAGACAGTGAGTTCTCAAAGGGAACAGAAGTATGGGGTGCATCTAGCAGATAGGCAGCAGGTAGGACAGAGGGTTGTAGTGGGTGGGTAGAGTGAAATAATGAGGGGAGTGATTTGTAGAGGAAAGGCCCCCAAGATGGAAGTCAGTGTCAAGGGGACAGCTCTGTGGGAGAAGTGGGGCGATGAGGTTCATATCCCAGGGGATGGGTGAGGGCGAGGTGGGGAAGACAACACTGGTCCTGAGGGTACGCTTGCCCCTTTTATCATCACTGTGACAAAATCACCTGACAGAAGCGCCTTAAGGGAGGAAAGATTCACTTTGGTTCACAATTTCAGTCCATCATGGTGGAGGTCACTGAGGCAGGAGTGTGTGATGGAGGTTCCTGACACCTTGACAGGAAGAGGAAACTAGGACCAGAGGCAGGGCCTGGCGATATCCCTCAAGGCCTGTCCCCAGTGGCCACACCCACCACCAAGGCCCCATATCCCAAAGATTCTATAACTTCCCAAAACAGCACCACCAGTTGGGGACCAAGTGTTCAAATACATGAGCCTGTGAGAGACATTTCACATCCAAGCCATAACAGAAGGTTGTGACAGGGGCATCTTGAAGTCAAAGGGTCACAGGGGCACCTTGGAGTCAAAGAGTCACAGGGGACAGGAGAGCGTTTAACATTAAATAGATGAACAGAAGCACTGTATTCTGACATATGCTTATGAAAAAGCCTCAAAGATCAATCTCTCTCTATCTCTATCTCTCTCTCTCTCTCTCTCTCTCTCTCACACACACACACACACACACACACACACACACACACAGAGGCCTCTTTATTAACCCACATCAACTTTAGGATCCTTTTTAGTTATCTATGTATCAAATGGAGGGAGGGAGTAGATTACATTTCTGGGAACAAAAATACCCAACCTCACAAGAAACTTACCAGTCAGGCATGCCAGGGAGCCATGTGGTGACATCTCACAGACACCTCGCAGAGGTGGAAACCCTCAGGAGCATGTGCAGGGGGAGCCAAGGGGCCCTGGGCATCCTTGAGGAAGCCCTCAGAGAGGGGACCCTTCCATCCATAATCACGTCAATGTAACATAGCATTAATGTCCCATTAAAGGGATTACAGTCATTTTTAATCATGACTTATTGTTCAGTGCTCCCAAAATGAAAAGGATTTCCAGTGGCTGGTAAATCAAATGGTAATTGATTCGACATTTGTGGAGGCTTTCCACAGAAAGCCTCTTTATCTCCAATTTGCATTCATTGCAACACTTACCCGCCTGAGAGGCACCCACAACCTAATGGGCATCATCTGTTTTAATGGAATTTAGTAGAGGACTGGCATAAAGGATACCTGCAGAATGATGGGAAAATAATGAAGGCAGCACAAGCCTTTGCCAGCCAGCCGGTCCATGCTGATAGCTGTTGATGTTCAGAGAAACCCAAGAAAATAGGAACAGACATCCTGTCTGGGGCAGACATCCATAGCTGCACCTGTGCAGAGTTCAACGAAATCCCTAGTGGCTCCTAAGCAAGAGCCAAGTTCTCCCTACAACCCAGGGAATGGACCGATGCCTTCCCGCCACCCCTGACCAGTGAGAGGAAGGGAGTGCCTGAAATCGAAGC